ATTTTAAGGAATATGGCTTACTGGATTAGATAATTACATTTTAAGGAATATGGTCTACTGGATTAGATAATTACATTTTATTATGTTTAATAATATCGCCAGCTGGATTCGCCAACATGTTAAATAATATGGTCTTCTGAATTGGGCAATTAAATTTCCTTTTTTACGTTTCATAATATGAACATCAGTATAGGGTGATAATATTTCCTTTTTTGTACGATAAATAATATGATTTTCTGGATTGGGCGATTAGATTTTATTTTTTACGATTAATAATATGATGTAGGTGTCTGGATGATAACATTTCTTTTTTATGTTAAATTGTATAAATTAATGGATTTAGTAATTACAGTTCTTTTTATGTCTAATAATATGGTCTTGCGTTTAGGTTTTCTGGATTGAGTGATTAATTTAATTTTTTGCGTTCAATAATTTGGTCTACTAGATTGGCTGATTACATTTGCTTCTTACGTTAAATAATATAATTTTCTGAATTTGGCAATTGCATTTCCTTTTTTACGTTTAATAATATGGATCTCCTGGTTTGGGTGATAAAATTTCCTTTTTTACGTTAAATGATATGATTTTCTGGATTGGGCAGTTAAATTTCCTTTTTCAGGTTTTAAAAATATACTCTTCTGAATAGTGGGATAACTTTTCCTTTTTGACGATAAATTATATGATTTTCTGGATTGGGTGATTGGATTCCAATCGTAACATTTACTAGTATGATCTACTTGTTTTGATGTTAACATTTCCTTTTTTAGGTAACAGACTTTCATTTTCTGGTGTGGACAGTTACATTGGCATGTTTACGTTTAATATGTTCTTCTGGATTGGGTGATTACATTTCCATTTTTATGTTAAATAATATGGATTTCTGATTGGGTAATGGTATTTCCTTTTTTTATGTTTAATAATATGGTCTTCTGAACTGAGTGTTTACGATTAATAATGTTCTTTTGGTTTGGGTGATAAGCTTTCCTCCTTACGTTAAATAATATGATCTTTTGGAATGGGTGATAACATTTTCTTTTTTATGTTTTATAATATAATATTCTGTATTGTGTGATAACTTTTTTATTTAATTATATGGTCTTCTAGATCGGATCATAACAGTTTCTTTTTTACGTTTAATAATATGATCTTCTGGATTGTGTGATAACATTTTTTTTCATTTAATAATATAATATTCTTGATTGGGTGATTACATTTCCTTCTTTAGTATTATAATATGATGAATTGGGTGATTACTTTTCATTTTATACGTTTATTGATAGGGTCTTTCTAATTAATAAAATTTCCTTTTTTTACGTTTAATATTATGGTCTGATTGGGTGATAGCATTGCCTTTTTTACGATTAATAATATTTTTTTCTTATTTTGCTGATTGCATTTCCTTTTTCACGTTTAATATTATGCTCTTCCGAATTGAATCATTGCATTTCCTTTTTCACGTTTAATATTATGCTCTTCCGAATTGAATCATTGCATTTCCTTTTTTTTACTTTAAATATTATTGTCTTCAGAATTGGATGAGAAGACTTTTCTTTTTACATCTAATAACATATAATCTCCGGGATTATCTTATTACTTTCCATTTTTCCTTTTCTTATGTTCTTCTGCATTGGATGATTACATTTCCTTTTTACATTTAATATGTTCTTCTGGATTTTAGACCACATTACCTTACTTTAAATATGATCTGTAAGTGATTATAAACATTCCTAATGTTAAATATGGTTTTATAGATATTGCAATATCTTTTCCTTATTCATGCTGACGCAATATGTTCTTCTAGTTTGTGCGATAGCTTTTCCTTTTTACTTCTAGATTCGGTAATTTCGTTACGTTAAACTTTCCGTGTGTTAAATTAGCTCCTTAATCTTATATACCTTATAAAATCAAAATCAAATAGTTTTAAGATTGAGCGTTTCCAAAATTATTCTGTAATAACTATTTTGGAATAATTTTGGAAAAAAATAAAATCTTAAAACTTTGATTTTGATTTTATAAGGTATATAAGATTAAGGAGCTAATTTAACACACGGAAAGTTTAACGTAACGAAATTAACTTTTTAATTTTATTTTGTAGAAATACTTTTCAGATCAGTCATTTGATTAAAATCTATATGCACACTCAAAAACATACGTACGGCCTTTTTTTTCACTACAAAGGGAAAATAGCGAGATGATTATTTTTCTAGTGCAATGTAGGAGAGCACATAAGGATAAAAGTCTATGCTTAAATGGGTTAATATTTGAAAAGTGAATGCTAATCCTTTTGCTATGCGACTGAATTGCGAGGTCTGCTTCAACATTCTGTCAGCAATTCCTGCATAACAGCAAAAGAGTAGAAGCCGAAATGTGAAGCCGCTTAAAATCCTTCTTAGCACTCCTTCTGTATTTATATTTTTTAATGAACGTAGTATTTTAAATGGACAAACAATTTAAATATTACATTTATTCACCTTGCCGCCAGGGAAGCGACAACGGACCGAACTAGTATTTAAATAAATTTAACTTACATTTCTTCTTGTTATATAGGAATAAAGTGTCGCTGCCGACACTTGAGTTTGAACAAAGAAGATCGTCTGTGAGCAAAAACAGGCAATGACATTATTGAATTAAGTGGATCGCGCGACTATAGAAGAGACGCATATATAGGAAGTCGCGTGACATCTAGATTGATTTGCACTTCCGTTCTATCCTCTATTACTATACGGAGCGCTATTCTCTACTTTATTCACTATACTATTTCTCTATTCCGATCACTATATGAATTACTATTCGAACGAGTATTATCGAGCAAGTACTATTAGTGCGAGTGCTATTCGAAGGCGTCTGACATCAGTATTGTTCAACGGCGTTACTATAGTTCTATCTGCGATTACAAAGTCTCTACTACAACGAGTATTATAAAAAGTGACAATGAGTATTCGTTGGTATTACAAAAGCGGCAACGAGTGTTCGTCGACATCACAAAATTTTTCATATCCTTTCTGGTAAAGCGCCATTACTTACCGAACAGCTTAAAAAGTTAAAAAAAAGTTCTCTGTTCAATTGGAGCCATTATTTAAACTAGTGTCATTTGTTAAAAGGATATTGTTCGGTAGACACCAAAGCTATTCCCATGTTCTTTCACACTCAATAATCTCTGTCTATTAATGGTTTTGTTGCTTTGCTTGGGTGAAAGGAGAAAAAGAAAGTTCAAATCATTTTAACTTTTACAGGTATATATTCTCTATTTTCTAATCAACAATAGCTTTTAATTATATAATTAATAATAGCGGCAGCTGCTGACATTCGGCTTGGAAGTTTTAGGGGTGATACATTCTGGTGTCGTCTGTAATACTTAGCAAGCGGACGTAGTTGTAGACATTTGGTTTCAAAAGGACTCACACAAATATAAAATCAATATAGAAAAATGTTTTCTGTCTTAAATCTCTTGTTGCGTGTTAATTTCTAAGCTTGTTGACGTTAAAGTAATTTTGTGAAATTATACTTCAATGGTCATTTCAACGAACATGGGAATTTTGTATTTCTAAATTTAATGTTTCTAAATTTAATAAAAATTATTAAATAAAAAAAAAAAAAAAAAAACAAGCTAGGTCGATAGAAATAGATAGAGAACTGAAGAAAAGAATGGATTAAAATTAGCTTTAACTTAAAGACAAGAGCTAGTTAACAATTTTAAACATCATTTCTGTATTGAATGCTTTAGAATTAGTCAAGATTGGCTTCATTAGGTTCAATGATATTTCGGGAACGTTAACATCACTATCAAGTTTCTAAGGAAACTTTTTTGCAGTAATTTTAGGTCAGTAGTAATTAACAAAGTGGTAAACAAATAAACGACGCAAGCTGTATGGATGCTTGTCCTTAGGATCGCCTTGCTAAAATCTCTTCGAAGATTTATTTTGTTAATTGGACACTTGATTCAGCTTGGGGACGCAAATCGATGGTAGATCTTAGAATTTCTTCCAATTGGCAGATAGATAGATAGATAGATAGATAGATAGATAATGCATTGAAGTATTTCTTTCGTTTGTAGTGCAATGAAGGTCTGCGTACTAGGATAAACATCCATACTTAAGATGTTATTTCTAAAAAGTGAATGCTAATCCCTTTCCTAAGCGATTGACTTAATCGACGCTACACTTCGTAATTATCTCGAAAAAGGCAGCTCTTTATGCGGTAATGTTTAGCAAACTCATCTCACATAGTTCCCTGCGGCTGTGGCCTTGTGTCAGACTAAGTTAAATTTAATAAATCATTATAATTATGTCGAAAACAGAATCACGATTTATTTACTATGTTTATACTTGTCTTGTGCAGATTATGAACGACCTTGGGCGCTTAACCTCAGAATAAAATAAACCAGTCTTGTAGACCCTTACTCCACAATAGTGAAATTGAATTACACAATTCTTGTGGCTTTGTGCCAAACTTAGTTGAGCTTAGTAAATAATTCTACGAGGACATCAGAAATAGTAGTCTAGTAGAAGTTTACATTGAAAATGAACTCCTCGGTGAGGATGGAATTCATTTGTTGCAGATTGATGAACAAACGTATCTTACTGGCCGATGGCAGATGCCTTCCAGAAACGATATAAATATTCTTTATTTTGATGCTTCAACATCTCCCGAAAGGATGAGAGAGAGAGAGAGAGAGAGAGAGAGAGAGAGCTAGCTAGCTAGCTAGCTAGCTAGCTGTTAGGTCTCAAGGGAGGAGATGGAGCCGACGACATTTCATGCATGTGAATTAAAAGTTTATCTCAGAATAGAAACTGCTTCTGATCCCCGCAGAGGAGATCTTTTACTGGACCGATTAAAAAGACTTTAAAATTCCCATTTGGCAAACAAACAAAAAAACAAATCTCTCTTGACTTTTCAGAATTTCATTTTGCTCGAAGCAGCGGGAAGGAAATTCTTAAAAATCAAAGAAACTAAACAGATTATGGGTGGAAAACACTGAATATATTCCCACTTACTTCCAGGTACAGAGCTATCTATCTATCTATCTATCTATCTATTTATTCTCTCTTTTTCAGTCTGTTCATATCTATCTATCTATCTATCTATCTATCTATCTATCTATCTATCTATCTATCTTCAATTCTGACAAATGCCATGTCTCAAGGAAGTTCTAATGAATATTAATCCACAAAAATGATTTGCTCCCCCCATGTTTTCCTTATTTTTTTACGAGTGGACCAGTTTACTTAAATAGTGCCGCAAATCAAAGTGCAACAATGTTCATAACTTCTATATGAGATTTTCATCTTTTGAAATTAGTAATTTTAAATGTTGCACAAAAACTCAAATCAGTGCTTCAGTAAGTAAATCAAAAGAAACATTTTTTTGTTTTAATCTGGGAGTCTACCTATGAATCGACGCCTTTCTATGATATTTCTTCTCATGTCATTGCGCCATTTTTAATTTTTATGTCGAGCGAGCGAACTGGTTAATATATTTGTGTTTTGATATCGGATTTAAGTTTTTTTCATTCATCAAAGACATTTCAGAAAAGTCATTAAGTGCATATTTTCCAAGCATAGCTTACATGTGGCACAAGGCCACAAGTATGAGGCACGCAGTGAGGATCGAACTCACTACTCAGTCGTAATTTTTCTAGCAAGACATGCTTGTTAACCATTACACCGCTGCGAGGTACCCAGATGATTTTCTAAGCGCAGCTTAGATGTAGCACAATGCCAAAAGTATGGGGCACCCAGTGAGGATCGAACTGACTATTCAGTCGTAACTGCTTTAGAGAGACAAGCCTGTTAACCATTACACCACGCCGAGGTGCCCTTAAATCCTTAAGTGTATATATTTAATAGTTCATTACTAAGTTGATAAATACTGAAAAGCCTTCTGTTTACGGATATATGAAGTTGAAACACCAATTCTCGTATGTATTATGGCTTGGGAATCCCAGATCATGATAGCTTGGATGTGATATGTGGATGGTGTAATGTATAACGTCCAAGAATTAGAAATCAACGAGCCAAGTTCGAATTCCACTTGGGTTCGTTACAGTCTCTTAAACGCAAATACCTTTGATCGATCACGAATCAAAAAAGAGACATGATTGACCAAGCGTGTCATATGAACACTTAGCAACAAGGTTAATGGCATATACCTCCCTATGAATGTGAGGAAGGCCGACGTCCAACAAAGGCTGAGAAGAAGAAGAAGAAGAAGAAGAAGAAGAAGAAGAAGAAGAAGAAGAAGAAGAAATCACGTGACGTTGGACAATCCCCTCATTAATATTCTCAAAGCTCCTGTTATTATAAAGGATAGTAATTTGATACCAGCCAAAAGTCGGTCCACTTATTGCTGACTTTGAATGGTTGCTTGTTCAATTACTTATTGATGAGTGAAGGAATATGATATTTATTGACAGTTTATTGATAATGCATTTATGTGAGTGAGGGTCGTCGACGGTAATGTGGTTGCGTGAGATGTCTTCTCGAACATGAAATAGAAATGAAATTATAAATATTACAATTTACAACAATATTATTAAGTTCTTCTTCGATGTGCCGTCTCCTTTCAGGACATAGGTGATCATGGCTTTCAACAACTTTCTATTCTTTATACTTTTTTTTGTGACCCGTTGTCACTTTTGTGATATCAACGAATACTCGTTGTCACTTTTGTGATGCTCGTTGTAGTAGAGACTTTGTAATCGCAGTTACAACTATAGTAATGCCGTTGAACAATACTGGTGTCAGACGCCTTCGAATAGCACTCGTGCTAATAGCATTTGCTCGATAATACTCGCTCGGCTAATAGCTCCTGAATAGTGATCAGTATAGAGGATAGTGCAGAGAAGAGAATAGCGATCAGTATAGTAATAGAGGATAAACTAGAAGTGGTGATCCATTAGACGTCACGTGACTTCCTACTTATGCGTTTCCTTTATGGTCACGTGATCGACTTAATTCAACAATGGGATCGCCTGTGTTTGCTCATTGGCGATCTATGTTCAAACTCAAGTGTCGACAGCGACACTTTATTCCTATATAACACTTTTAATAATTTTTGTTTTTTATTATTTTCCAACTGCTAGTTGTGAGATTCAATTACACAAACTTGTTACTCGATGTTTCACTTTATCCATCTTGCCATCAATATGCCATCCTAGCGTCAGATTCTCCAAAAATTCTTTCTTCACTAAGTGTCACAGAAATTTAAACTTTCTTTTTTTTTTGATTCTGTGTGCCCTTTTTGTTTTAATTTTCCTTAAAACTTCCCCGTTTCTCGCACGCTCCGTGTACAGTATTCTCAGTATCCTCCTGTAGAACTGCATCTCTGTTACCTCCAAACGCCTCTTCATCTATGAAGAAATTATCCGGCATTCATTGCAATGTAGAAGAACTGATATTGCATAGTAGTTGAAAACCCTTTGTTTGTTTCTAAAGAAATTTTTCTGTTTCTTAATACTTTACTTAGTTTTTGGAAAACATTTTTCGCTGTTCCAATGCATTTTCGGATTTCTGTGCCACATGTTCTGTTACCCTGTTATGATACTTTTTAGATATTGAAATTTTTTCTCTTTAATACGTAACTCGCATCTTGGTCATTTTTTTCTCACTGAGAAGCATACGTTGTGTCTTCTTGCAATTGAAGTTTTTATTCCCTTTTGGCCCTCTTTTCTTTGTTACATTATCTACATGTCTAGATGACCCGACACTAGCAGCTGATCACTGACCTCGCTCTAACAGCTCAGTGGATGAAAAACTGGAAAAACCCACCGAACGTTTTGGATCATATTTGTTCTTTAACTTCTAAAATCACCAAGTATATAGTAATCAATGAAGGTGTTCCCTAGGGGTTGCTTCTTGATCCAACCCTTTTTTTGTTTTACATAAATGATCTGCCTGAGATTATACTCAAAACTATAAACTGCACCCCACTCCAACTGCAAAAAAAAAAAAAAAATTAAGAACCATTACTACTAATAATGCATTATATATCATTTTTCTTTGTTTTGATGAATAGTCTCACTAAAGATGTCTTAAAATTTTCATTATCTCTAACAAATTTGTTCGTATCCATGACAACTGAATTAACTATTCTAGTATTTCTCAGTGAGCCACTAGACAACAAACCCAGTTGATCGCATTAGATATTTCAAAGGCCTTCTAAAGCACTCTAGCAATAGAATTCTTTTTTTCTTCTTCCTTCTGTTATCAAGTCCTTCCTAACTGGCAGGTCCCTAAAGGAAATTGTTAATGGTCAGTCCTCCAAGGCCTGAGCAATCAATGCGAGCATTCCCCCAGAACTTGCTCGTTCATCCAACCCTCTTTCTACTTTACCTAAATGATCTGCCTAAGAGTATACTCTGATCATTTGTGAATATCTATACAGATGATACAACAGTGTATGGGTGCACCTCCTAGACTCTACATGAGCCTGGCAGCTGATCTCTCCTCTGACCTAGCTTTAACAGCTCATCGGGGGAAGATGGCTGGTCACGTTCAGTGCCTGGAAAACCAAACTGGCGAGGTTCCATCATCACCGAGGGGATTTTGGATTTATCCCAATCGCGGAGGCATTCTCATAAATGCCCCATGCCTCGAGCGCCTATTGGAACTTAAGCTCAAGCTAAACCTTACGTGGAACTTGTACGTAGGATTCATTGCTAAAGATGATGGAAATGGTTGCCTTGGCTCCTCCTGATATTCTCTACCATTACCGAAAATCGTGTACTGCTGCCGTATAGAGACAGGAGCTGTCCAGTCTTCACTTTCCAGTCTCCATAAGAGTCTAAAAACGTTTCCGCTTCCTTGTGAGTGATGGATTATTTTCCACCCTACCACACCTTTCCCATAGACGAAACGTTGTAAGCCTCTGGCTGCTCTATTGCTATTTCAATGGAAAATGTTCAGATGAACTACATTCTTTAGTTTCACCAGTTCTAACATTTTAATATCAGGCATACCATACACACTGTATCGAACCATCCTCATTCCCTTCACCTTTCACTGTTGATGTGTACTTTCCAGCCCAGCAGCTTCTTCTCACCAACCGCTGCTTTGTGGAACCGACTCCCAAGAGGATGGTTCCAATCTTAACCTGTTCAAGTCTAGCGTTAACGGTTATCTTCCTCACATAGGCCCATAAGCTGCACCTTTTACTCTTGTAAAGCATTACTTCGAATGGCTCTTGGGTCTTGTACAGGATGAATATTATTGTAAAAAAAATTCTAAGTCTTCATGTAGTTTTATTTATGTTTCTGTGGTGTTTATCTACGTATTTTATGCTGTTAAAATTGTGCCCGCCAATAATAAATCCCGATAAGACATGTAGTTCTTTTCGGCTTGCCTTGCTGTAGAAACGCTTCCTTGTCTGACGCTACTGTCTATGTTTCTGTAATTTCCTCTCCGTATGCACGCGTTTGGTTCATAGCGTATATTCTAGATTAGTCTAACATCTTCCACAAGTAAAACAAAATAGAATCTATCTGCATTGTTATCGGTCCTAACCTGGCGTCTCAGCTTCAGTCATGCCATATGTAGCTTCTCTGTACTTTTTTCTACAAATACTTCCACAGTAATTGTTCTGATGAGCTTTCCTCTTTGACAGCTCGCAGTAATGATTCACTGATCGAAGTTTAGATGGGGCACAAAACTGCAAGTATGGTGCATCCTGCCAGAATCGAACTCATTACTCAGTCGCAACTGATCTATCGAGACAAAATACAGCGTGCATGCAACGTTACAAGAACTTTCCTAGAGGGGAAAGGAAACACGTCTTGTTTCTATGACAGCTTTGAGTAAAGAGGGAAAAGAGAAAGAGATGTAGTTATTGTTCCTTTATTTTTATAGTTTCTTTTGGCAACGCCATCTAGCGGGATTTGGGTGAAATCCCCCGGCAAACAAAGTGGGATAATCCCACGTATATGTTTTTTTTTTTAATAATTTCACCCCAAGCAAGGCAGTAGAGCCACTAAGACGCAAGAGGTCAATTAATTTTTTAAGAATATAAGAAAAAGACATTATTAAGGAGAGAGAACAATAAAATAAATTAAAAAGATAGAAGATATCGATTGACATTGCATTTAAATTTTTGAAGATCAAAGTTGGCTGCAAAGCAAGAATCCGGAAGCGAGTTCCAGAAG